ATAATTGATAAAAGTTCCACCAAATTGTTTGTATTTAAAATTTATTTCAATTGGATATTCTTTATGTTATTCATTAGGTCTATATATCTAATCGTATAGTAGAATTAACATAATACTGATCATTTAAATCTAATTAGAAGTCTTGTAATGTAAAGATAATCAATATTTCAGGTGGTTGTAACTATGATTGGATTTTCTAAAATAATAAGAAGAAATCAATACTAGCTTTTCTATTACATGATTATTTTCTTAGTATATTTTGAGATTTGTATTTCCATTCAAGGTATTATAGATTTGACTTTATTGTACAAAGTTTAGAAAGGCGAGAAGAATATAATATAAAAAAATAAAAACAATAATTTGAATAAATTAATCATTAATCGACCTTATGTATCCTATTTAAATATTCTCTGATGGCTTTGATACGTTGGATAAGATTTAAAGGTATCATTGATAATAGTAAAGTTGTCCTTCTGATCTAAAAAATGAGATGAATATATATAAAATTTACTTCATTATTAATTTTGTTAGCAATAGGCCACCAGAATAGCAAATAAACAAGAACCAAGACAACTAAGAAAACAATAAAAATAGTAACAGTTGTAGTTATATTGGTATCAACATCTTTTTGCAGACTTTAATTAAAAGTAGTAAGCAATTATGAAAAGATTGATCTTATGTAAATATCCTACATTTAATCTATTTAATCATAAATAATTTACTAATTTCAATAGCAGCTATATCTGTATACATGAGTGATAAAATTTTGTTAGTTTATAGATTCTCTGTGAAATTGTAAAGAGTTCCTGCAATTGTGGTAGAGGAAGAATCATTAAGGAGCGAATCATAGACAGTTAATAAATATCTAAGATTTTCAAAATGTCTAGAAAGAGCTAAAGCTAATGATTCATCAACGATTCCTTTTACAAATGCTTAACATGTAGCTAAATCTACAGAAGCAACTTAAATAACTTAAGCACATGCTCCTGCTTTCATAATTGAATCAAAATAGTCATTGTAAATATAATTGTGAAATCCTAAATTTAATGAATGATCTTTTTGCATATTAGTGTTCAAATTGTATAAATCTTTCACAAAATCTGCACTAATAGTTTTTGAAACATTATTTTTAACAGGAAAGGTTGGATCCCATAACATTTATCTAAAAACATTATTAGCAAAGGTTATTGAAGGAACTGCAAGTGAAGTAGCATTCATCTCCTATATGAGTTATTACATGGAACCTTATAAATTAGCACCAATAAGATAATGAGCAATAAAGTAAGCTATTAGCAATCCCATTGAAATTATGAACTTTATATAGAAATTACGTTTGTCTTTGGAATCATATTTATACTTCTTTCTTTTTTTTCTTCTTCCAAATTCTTCAACCGCTCCTTCACCTTCTTCATTTTCTTCAAATGATAAATCATTCTCTTAATTTCCATCCTCGTCTTCTCCTATTTAAAGAGTATTTGAAAATGCTTCACATTTTGCAAATAACTATTTTACTTTAGCTAAGGGAATCTCCAAGAATAGTTTAATAACTTCTTCTTAGTTCTACGAGACTAGATTAAAAGCACAAGCAATCCATGGTATAGATATCACTGTGAATACACAAGCGACAATAAGTAGTATAAGCAACACATCAGAATCATAAGCTAAATTAATTAATTGATTGGTATAAAGATCTGCGCTTTCCAAAGTTGCTTGATAATAATCATTTAACAAATTATATCTAATGAAAAAGATCGAATCAGAATCAGGGTTAAATTCTTTGATATTAAAGTTCATAATTTCAAAAGCTTTAGATATGATTTAAGAAGTTCCTTGATTAATATCAACTAATTGATTGCTTTCAGATCCACTACTATCTTTACTAATCATTTTAATAGTATTAGTGGTCATCAATTCCTCTTATCTGCCTGAAACATCTGTAGATGATTAAATTTTAGATTGTATTTCCTTTAAATCACTTATAGTAGTATTCATATTTGTCAATAAGGTTTTAACCTTTTCATCTGTTTCTAAAACATTAATTTTATTTAATCTACACAATTCCATAATTTGCCATTGAATTCTTTAACCTAATGCAATTCTTATGTTAGAATCCTACATCATGATATAACCTTATTAAATATCTGAAAATAAGGATTATGTCAACACATAATCCAGAAGTCCTAATATTCCTAAACATATAATTAGAATAGCAGCACTCCATTTAAAACAAATCATACTATTTTGATTAACACTTCTACTTTCTTACAAGAACTACACAAATGTTCTTCTAGATTTATAAATATTAGCATGACCTCCTTCTGCTTCTTCTTCATCATCTTCTTTTTAAATCTATTACATTCCTGCATTTCCTCCACCCTTTTTAGGATCATTATCTTCTTCCTCATCTGAATCCTAATTTTTAAATTCATCAATATCGAATAATTACCCATTAATATATTTCATTGTTCTAATACCCAAAGCTAAATCTACTTTATCATCCTTTTCTCCTACATTTGAAGATGGTGTCTTTTCATCCTCTTTTAAGGGTTCTCTCTATGAATAATCAAAAGTCTCATCTTATTTGACACTTGATATTGCAGACATTTAGAAATTCTAATCTCCTGAATATTCTCCAATATATATATGTTAAGTTTAATCAAATTAAAAATAGAATTTAGTTAATGATTATTATTTCTTTTATTATGATTATTCATTAGGATTAAGAAAGGATTTATCTGATTTATTATTTTCAATCTTTACTATATAACCTTATAATTTAGAATCTCTAAACATAATCTCTCCAGCAGTTATATTAAACTTACCTTAAACGGATTAATCTCTATTTTTAAAATTGATATCAGCTTCTGCTCCTGATTTATTTAAATATTCAGTGATATTTTCTTAGAAATTGGGTATTAAATCTGTGACTTTAGTTTTCTTTTTTGTTATATAATTTAAATCTATATGAAACATAGTAATAAAAGTAGCAGAAATATTCTCAATCTCTTAAGTTGATCCATTTACAATCATAAAAGCAACATTTTTAAAAACCTTTTCTTATCTCATAGCTCCGAAGAACTAAGCTCCATGAATAAATGATGGAACATATCTTACATATATAAAAAATGGAAAGATATATCCATTCTTAGATTTTCCAATAATCATTCTTTCTCTATTCATAATTCTACTTTCATAAGTTTATAAATATGTTTCCATAAATTAATCATGTGATTGAGCAAATACATTTGGCATTAAAATATTAACTTTTCTATTAATCAATTCACTCTTTGAATATCCAAACATTTTAGATGCTGACATATTCAATCCAATGATTCTTCCAAAAGTAACATCTTCTGCTGAAATACTCATTAAAGCAGTAGATTCATTAGGAAAATCATTGATATTATTTGTAATTTTACCTCTATCCATATTTACAGAATAAAAATTCTTTAATCTTTCCAATACTTCTTCAGCTGATTCTTTATCTTAAAGAATATCTACTAAATATCTAGAATAAATCATCATCAAATTTGGTGGAACATCTAAATTCATTTTTATTATTCGTTTCCATGATTCCTCTAACATCTTATCTATATACATCATTCTTGTTCCAACATCATATAACTTTCCTAAATCTGGAGTATCTTCACTTAATTAAGACCAAAATTCTATATGTTATGAAGCTGACTTTTCTATCTATGCTCTTATTTCCCTCAAATTATTCTCCGTTGTTAATTCATTCACTGCATCTATTCCTGCAGCTGGATTTCTTGAAGATTTTGAATTTTCAAACATCTACTCTTCTATTAACTTTTTCAATCTGTAAATTATAAATTATTCATCAACATATGGCTTTTCTTATTCTGCTGCTACTAATTCTTATAATGCTTATTAATTTGATTACATTTTCTCCATTAAAAATAAAGAATGAGATATTCTTAATTCTGTACAATTAGGAAATCTAGTCAATGATAAAGTAAATATTCTTTCAATTATATAAACTAAAACTACATACTATTCTTTTATTTCATCATCTTAATTCTATAATTTAAAATTTTTCTAAAATTTTGCTATTTTTTTATTCCCCATATTCTTTGCTTAACAAGGACAATCTTCTCTTTTACAAATTGTTCTATGATACTCAACAAAACCATCCAATAAGGTAGCTATATTTCTATCTGTATGATAATAATTCAAAAATTTAGTTAAATACTATAATTATTATATTGCTTAATTAAGTGAATCAAATTTATTTGAATCAATCATCATTATATCATATCTATACTCTTTCCTTAACATTACAATCAATAGTAATAGTGGACTACCAAAAACCCATAAATAAGGAGCACCTTCATAATAAGTTTCTTCAACAATAATTCCAAAAATTATCATACAAATTGTCCACATAATTACGGCATGTTGTGAATTCAATACTTTTGAATAATAGTAATTTAAATAGACACTTGATTTATTAAAAGAAAAGAATTATATGACAGCAAATAAAGTAATTATAATAACTACTAGGATTCTTAGTTCATTTACATTGAGTAAGGTAAAACATAATACTAAAATTATTTTAAAAATTAAAAACTTCATATCATCTCTACCAGATATCTTACAAAGTGGATTATTTGGTTAAAATCTTGATTCATAAAATGTCATTGTAACTAATCCACTAATACAAATTAAAATGAATGCTGCAATAGCAGATAAAAATGCATGGAGCAAGTAATTTCCGGTATAACATTCTTAATCTGAATAATATCTATGAAAGCCTGTTGATGAATCACAATAAAATATTGTTAAAAATAGATGCAATGCTGGCATAAAGAAAATGTAATTGAGTACTTCAAAAAATATTTTTAAAACCACTAAAGGTCCACTCAACTTACTCACTGATGTAGTTTATGCTTTTAGTGCAATAAAAATAATTAAAATTATCAACAATAAGAAGAAACCCATTATGATATAAAGCACTAATATAAAGTTTTGAAATTCCACATTCTTCAGGTATGGTGAAATCATAAAGAAACCAAAAAATGATTAAAATGACTCTGACCATGTTTTCACCTTCCATAATGATAAAAACTATCATATTCATCTAAATATATATACTTCATCACTAAAAGCAAAGTAAAATACTTGAAAACTCTCAATCAAAACAAAAATGATGTAAAGAAAAAGCGGGAAGTTCTCTCCAGAAATTAAATAGTAGATGATTTCAAAAAGTAGATTCTTAAAAGAGTTTTGCATTTTATCTAAAGCTGATTTATCATCATCAAATATAGAAACACCTTACATGTTTATTATAAATTATTAACTTTATATTTAATAAAGTAATAAATATTGCAAATTATATTTATATATATAGATATATTAAACATCAAACTTTTTTCTTCCATAAAATTAAATTTACTAACTTTTACTCTTAATTTATTGTCATTTTTATTTCAAAAATTCTTTTATCGTATAATCTCAAAATGCAATTAGAACATGAATATCCATAATCAAAAGGTATAAATAAAAGTGTAGAGCATTCATTTTTAATTATGAATTACAATTTAAATATTTGATTAATTGAATCGTATTGATGATGGAAAACTTTTTCAGCACAAATTGATTAAGCATATGGTCTATTTAATGAATCCAATTTCAGTGCTTAAGCTATGGTTCCCTTATACGTCCTTAAATAATTTAAAATATATTTATTACCAAGAAGATTTGAATGAATCAGCATTATTAAGAATTCTGCTTATTAAATAATCATCATTACCACTAAACTCAGCAAGAAATGTTGAGACTTAGGCATGTTAACCAACATGGAATTCTAGCCACATTGAAAAGTAATTCCAATTAATAGCAAATTATTTGAAATACTATGATTAATAGGTAATCCTATAACTATAGGATTCTTTTTTTTGATATTCAGATCCATTTATATTATTATCAAATCCTGATCCAATAAAATCAGTATCTTAAGTCTAATAGAATACAATTTTATTTTTATCGACTTCTCTAATGTAGGAATTGATTTTCTAATAAAAAGGCATTATCATTTATCTATTATTCCATCCTGGCCAAATACATTAATAGTATGCTTTATAATAATTACCACATGATGGATTATTAAGAAGGTCATATCCTACAACATTATCTTCATTCTTCATTTATTCTGCTATTTTTTACCAAAATAATCCAAAGTATTCAGTTAAGTTGTTTACATTCTTATAGAGATTTTCAAAACTATTTCCTACGTCATCAGTTTTAATAAGAGAATCAAAATTTGTTGCACATTGATCTTTAGTGGGATATAGATCTATTTTTATTTTCCCTTAAATATCATAAGGAACTGGAAAGTTTACCCTTTAAACTGCCCAATCAGGAAATCCATATCCACAAAATTATTTATTCAATAATTAATGATCTGCAACAAAAATAACATAAAAATTATGAATATTTGCTAATTAGACAATTTTTTATAAAGTAGTTAAGTATGAAGAATTATATGTTATATTCTTTAAGGATATTGGTTTATTTGGGATAAGTTGATCGTAAAAAACAGAAATTCTGATTAGATTGAATCCAATTTTTGAAAGTGCAACAAAATCATCTTCATTAATATTTGTTTAGGGATAATCATTAAGATTGATTCCATGAAATATTTTAATTGTCTAATTCTTATCCATATAATATCCATTCTGGAATTCACATAGCACAATTGAGATTAGGTAATTAAAAATAATTATCATTTATTAATATTCATAACTGATATGACCAATTTAACCCGACCAGAAGCATTTTATACTCTAAATGTATTGTTATCTATATATTATAATTAACAATATCCTTTCTTTGCTTTGCAAGAATATTTAAATTCACTTTGAAAGGCATTTATTTTGGGTACATAAATTACAGTTTCGCATTTTTTAATGGAATCATATTTCAAAGTAAATTCTTATTTTTTTGCATTAAATTTAGAATAGTGAACTTTGGATGCACAAATTTATTAAGCATAAGGTCTAACTAAAGCTTCTATTTTATAATTTTAAAGTGATCCATCCTGATTGAAAATTCCTTCATCATACATATTTGAGGATGTAGTGAAATCATTATATCCTTTATATTACCAATAAGCCCATGATTACAAATATTTATCTGCTTTATATAATAAACTATTAAGAATATCTTTAGCAAATGGTTGATTTGGTAATGCTCCAAATTCGGTTAACATGGATCCTGTTCCAAGATGGTTGATATTTAATTTTTTTAAAGGATACATTAGATTATATGATTGTTTACAAAGGAATTTAGAAATCTTTTCTATAAATAATAAATGCATAAATACCGATTCCACAATAAAGATGATAACTAAAGACTTCTTTCTTTTTATATTTTCTGCCACCAATATTATGTCTAAATCCGACTCCAAAAGTATCACTAAGTTATGGTTCAAAGAATACAAGTTTTTAAGTGTCAGTTTATCTTATATATTTATTAATAATTTAATAGAATGGCATGATTAGATGTTTATTAGCCCATCCTGGCCAATTATATTAAATTTTGCTTCTTTAATAATTGCCAGAAGTAGGTTCATTCAAAATTTCATATCCTAATACATTCCATTCATTTTTATGTAATTCAGCAACTCTTTTCCAGAATAATCCAAACATATCAGCTACGCCATTTTCATTTTTGAATATAGATTCTAGATTTCTACCAACATCCGAAGTTAAATAAAAATCTGCAAAGTTCTTTTATTTAAGACAATCTTCAATTAATGGATATCCTTATTAATCTAATCTTAATTAGATATTTAATGGAGCTGGGAAATCAATTTTAGTGACAGCCCAATCTGGAAATCCTTCTCCACAAAACTATCTATTTAATAAGTCTTAATGAGCATCAAGGATAACATAAATATTATATTTAGCAGCCAATCTTACAATATCCCTAATATGTAATAAGTATTCATCATTAATTACTCCTCTTTAAGGCATTCCAGCTTCAAAGGCTACATGTAATCTGATAACATTAAAACTATAATAGATTAAATCTATTTCAGTTACCCTAATGATATTAAGAGTTAACAATCTTCATCAGAGAATGATGTCATTACATCAAAATGATCTGTTATTGGAAAATAAGGGGGTGGTTTATAGACTACATTAAACCCATGGAATATTCTTATTGCACCAGTCTATTTATATAAAGAGTTCTTACATCATCAACAAAATTTCCGTGTTTGTTAATGTGTATTGATAATGCTATTCCAATAATACATAATAAAAATATCATATTTAATTTAATATTCTTTAAAATTCCAAATATAATTAAAAAAATCGTTAAAAAATAAATGGGCAACGAACCATCAGCTCCTAATGATAAGATTGATTTCTTGAGACCTGTTCAAAAGAAAGCACCTGAACCAACTTAAATCAATAAAGTTTAATAGAATGAATGGAGAATAGGATTGTAACATCCCCATCTCTTATAAACTTTGGGAGGATAACCTGAAGGGGATTAGTATCGATACTTCTTTGAATTTTGTTAAATTACTTTAGCATCTTTACTTTAAGAACGATATGGAACAAAAAAATACTTTCCTGAAGAAGACTTGTAGGCATTACTTCTAGGTATAAGTAGTGCATTAAGTTTCTTATAAGAAAAGGGATTGTCACATGGAGGTATTTACTTAATATCATATATTTATTAGATATATGTACAACTGAAATATACTTTGATTCAAACAGTTCAAGTTTTAAAGTTTTAGATTCAAATTTAATTAATGGAAGAGGTGCTTCTATTTAATAATTAATGGCTGGGAAGTTGAAATACCTTGCACCAGAAATATTATAAAACCCTACACAACCTTTATCAGAGTTGTAACTAAGTAAAAATGATGTCTGGTGTTTGGGAATGGTAATGTTAGAAGCAAGTACTCTTAAATAAAATGATAATCTCTATTAAAATGGATTATAATTTAGATTAATCTCTGATAGAATCAATGAAGTAGCTCAAATTTACAATTTATAATTTGCAGAGAATATTGCTCTCATGCTCAATTTTAATCCAAATGAAAGATTAGATCCAGTCAATCTTTTTAATTATCTCCTTGAATAATAAAGAACAGCAAATGAATAAGATTAACAAGTAGTCTAACAATAACAATATCAATAATTACTATAATAATAATAATTGTATTAATAATAATTATGTTAATAATAATAATAGTAATAGTAATAATAATAATAATAGTTAATGTATCAATAATAATAATAATAATAATAATAATAATAATAATAATAATAATAATAATAATAATAGTAGATTACTTATTAATAAACTCAGTAATCTCAATTATAGTAATAGTAGATGGCCTATTAATAAGCTTAGTAATCTTAATTATAGTATTAATAGTAATAATAAATATAATATTTACCTTAATAAGTTGAACAATCAAATTATTAACCATAAATAGTCTAGTAACCATAATTATAATAAACCTAAATCCCTCCTTAATATCTTTAGTAATAATAATCGGCAATCTAATAATAATAGTACAATACTTAATAAACCCAATATTAATAATAATAATAATCATAATAACAACAATTTGCTTAAACTTAATAACCAAGATAAAATCATCATTATTCAAGACCCTCTCAAGATTTCATGATGACTCAACCTGAAATGAATCAAACTATGTAAGGAGGAGTTTCTAGAGAAAGAGTTCCAACTAAAATTATTAAGAAGTTAGTTTATCCTGATGGAAGAGTTGAATATCAAGAGAAATCTCATTCAGCTTCAAGAATGGGTAATTTAATATACATATAATTTTAGTTTAATAAACATAATAATAAAAACCTTAGTAACTGCTTCCTTAGACATAATAATAACCATAAGCTATGCCTCAATAATAATAAATAATGGCTTAATAATAATAAATGCTCTCATAATAACAAATGGTTTCTTAACAATAATAGATTACTTAATAACCCTAATATAATCCATAATATTAATAGTAATAGTATTACTAATAACCACAACCATAACCTTAATATCAGTAGAGATAAAATGTGCTTGGTAATATTGAAAACTAAATGTAAGTTGTTACTAATGAATAAAACATTACTAGATTGAAATAAGAAATTGAACATTCAAAAACTTTAATTTAATAATATAATCAATAAAAACCTCAAGTTTAAGCTGAATCTATAGAGGAAAGAATAAGAAAAGTTATTGCATAATCATAAGCATTAAGAGAAAACTTTGCATGAATTATATCTATATATATATAATATATAAATTATTACAAAATGCTGCCTAAATTAAATCAAAGTTCTTCAACTCAATAAGTCAAATCACAAGATGATTAAAGTTTAAACGAAGCAAAAAGACGTTAAAAACTACTTGAATTAGAATAATAAAATGTTGAAAACAGAATCAAATAACTTACTAAAGAGAATGAGAAACTGTCCAAAAAAGTTTAAATGGCAGAATAATTAGCTCTAGATGTTTATGCTTCTCGTCTTGCCTAAAAGATTAAAGTAATTATTTGTTTCTTATCATAAAACTTAGAAAGAACAAAAATTACAATAATAATCTATTGTAGATCCTTTAAGATATTAATAAACTTAATATGAAAGAATGAATCTTAAAAAAATGAAATAAGAAGTTAAAGATATGAAACATAATGATGCTCTATAGATGAAAACTTCAATTAAATACGAATTAATGAGAACTAGCCAAGAATAAGCTAAAAAAGCATAAAATCTTAAATTGAGAGCTGCTCTAATTAAAGAAGATGAAAAATTGTCTTAAGCAGTCATTCAAGAAAAATTATAAGAAAAACAATAAAAAGTAAGATTGATACTAGAACTTGAAAAATAAAAGATTCTTGTTGAAAATGAAAAATATGAATACTAAATTAAATAACTAGAAGCCTAGGAAATAAAATTAGTAGAAAAACTATAAGCTACATAATAGAGAGAATAAGATGTTAAATAAAAATTGATGGCAGCAACAAGATTAGCTCCAGAAGAATTTGACAGAACTTATTTGGGTGGATAATCTATCATTTTTGAATAAAAAAATAATGTAATTATCTTAAGTATATGCAAATTTAGGAAAAAACATAAGAAGAACAAAAAGAATAATAAGAATAATAAGAGGAATCATAAAAAAATGAATAATAAGAAGGTAATGAAGGATAATAAGGAACCTAAACTGATTGAACTGATATTTTATATAGATCGTCAGAATATATTATTATAAAATTTACTCTTGAAAAAACTTCTTTTTTATAAGATATCCTAAATATTTTTCTCTTCCTAAGTATTTCTTTTTATTACTTTAAAAAGTTTCAATCTAACTCAAGACTTATTCTTTCTCAAAAAAAGTATGCTTACTAATTTTAGATAGAATGAAAAATTTTAACCAAAATATTAAGTTTTTTTTAAATATATTTTAACTTTTTAATTCTATACCAATTAACTAGAAATTTAATTATTTTATTTAATAGATTTCAATCATATTTTAATTCTTGTTCATTTTAAAATTTAAAGCAATCTATATAACATTTTTATTCAAAATTTTTATATCTAGAGAGAAATGAATGAATTATAATATGTTATATTTAAATGAATTTTCATAGTTACTTATAAATCATATTAATTATGATAAAAATTATTAAATTAATTAATGGGATTAAATTAATCAGAACACTTTTTAAGAGTTAATTCGATTTGTGAATAACAAATTAAATCAAACAGAGACTTAGACTATTTAAATTCTTGTACTTATGAGTACTTATAATACAAGACTGAATAAAATAATTTATCAAATGAATATTAAAGTTGTGATAAAAAAGCAATGTAAAATGTTTAAGATTTTTAGATGATAAATAATAACAAGTTATGCAGTATTTTGTAAAAATAATGTGAAAAAATTTTGACTTTTTTTGTTTGTTTTGTATGATAACATAATTTTAAAATAATAAAATAAACTGATATTAATAATTAAAAAGCTTGTTTTAATTTGCGAGTTAATTCTTCTAAAATATTTGCCTATTCTTATAAACTATTCTATTGCTTCACTAAATAATTCTTATACCCATCGTGTAACCTAATAAAAAAAATGTAGGCTACAAGTGTTATTTATAAAAATGATTTTTAATTATAGAGTTTTATATATTTTAATTTTCGTTTAGGTGAGATTAATATAATTTTGAAACATATTTTACTATTCAAGTTTTATTTTCAAATTAATAAAACGATTTGCGCTTATTACTTTTATATTTAAATGAATATGATCTTCGAATAAAGAAATACTAGATAAAATATTTAATAAATGAATTAATTCTAAGGACTAATAATTAAATAAAATTAGAGGATTCGTAAAACACTCATTTAAAATCTCATTATTATAGGATAATTTTTTTATACTATCATCTGGATTTTTATTGCTATATCAATTTTAGGAAAAAAAGAAGAAGAATTGCATTTTAAAGTATTTTATTATTTTAGTTTACCAACTATTTCATTACAATTCAATATCGATTAAGTCATCATTTAAAGCATAACAATAATTTTTTCATTAAGTTTTCTCTTCTCTATTTTATTTGGAGAAAATTAATAATATTCAAAGAAGATAGTTATTTTGTTTTGGGATGCTTATCCAAACATATGCTAGATCGTTATTATATAAAATAGTGGCCATTGCTTACAAAGTGATAATATAAACTTTTCATTGGGATTATTAAATATAATATTGGCAATCGGAATTTCTTAACTATCTAGCATATATTCATTTTCATAAAATAATACGTAAAAATTAATAAAATCTTATTTTGAAAGGGGTTTCATTCCTTTTTGTTATTCAGTATTAGCTTTATTTGCAGGTTTGCAATTAAACAGTTTATACTTATCTTATTTATATTTAGGTATATAATTGATTTTCGACCTATATTTTGGGATATTTTACTTCATTAAACCACATATGCAATATTTAAATATTAAAACATAAAGATTAGTTGTATTATTTTCATTTTTAAGATTTCCATTAGTAGTTTTTCTATTTTACTATTAAAGTAATAATATTTTATTTTTGTTGATATTTTCTCTTCCACTGATGATATAAATTAATTTTATCTTATGGGATAATAAATTTATGTAGTTCATATACTAAACAAATATGTATTTTTAGTATATTTGTATTGATAAGTTTAGAGAGATGGATAACCAGATAGAATGTTATTTAGCATATTATTTTGAGATAATTGATTATAAGAAACCCTTAAATAGAGTTTTAATGTTAAGTATATTTTGTAATCATATGAATATGTGTTAAAATATCAAATGTTTCTGTTAAAATAGAAATTTTCATGAAAATGTTAAAATTACTACTCAATTATAGCTGGATGTTAAGGATATCTAATAGTAAATAAATTATGCAGTAGGAGAATAGGATATTTAAATGAGTTTCAAGTAATTGATGTTATTATTCTTTGATAATTATATAAAGAATGTAAGATATACAACCATGGGTGAGACTTTAATATTAAAATTAAGTATATATGAAAGCTAAAATTTTCAGCATAGATTATTTTAAACTAAGATTAGATTTTAGTATCTAAAGATATTTTATAATAAGTTTCATCCACAATATTTAGAAAGATGGGCAACATGTTATTTGATAACTGAAAAATTATAGTATTACATAGGTGGAGGAAATGAAATGAATTTAAATCTATCTGTAACAATGAAATATTTCACATTGCTTGAAAAGATCTAAAATGATATTTATAAAGTGATTGAGGATAAAATAGTTATTTTAGAACTTTTAAAAAGAAATTATTAAAATCCTGTTCCATATCTATTACACAAATCTACTTAAAATTATTTTAATTAATGTAATGAATTAGAAATATTAATTCTATAATTAGTTTAGCTTAATGGAATATCAGTAGAAGTTAGAGAATTGTAAGATGAATTTTACTCTTAAATAAAAGTCGACTATGGTTTCAAGAATATTCATAAAAAAATAACAATCCCTTTTATAAATTAAAATTAAACAACATTTGTAATTTGTGATTATGAAGGAGATCTTATAATAAAAGATTATTCCAACAATTTTGTTTAGATGATTAAAGTAAGTTCTTAAATAAAAGGAGGCGCTATTGAATAAATAGTACCTATTAGTCTATAATAGTATCATAGATATGCTATAACTTAAATGATTAATACGGGTAAAACTAAATTGGTTAATAAAGAATAATACACTCTTATGGTTAAATCTGAAAAATATATTTTAGAAGTAGATGCATTATTAAGATTTGATTATAGATAACTAGACTTTCTAAGATTTATTGGTTTTATGTAATTGAGAGATAAGGATAGTATTTTGATACTTGCTAATGAAAAAGGAAAACTTGACTCATATTCTAGATCTGCTGGAATTCTATTGAAATTAGATGATGTGGATTTTGATTCACTTAATTATTTTAATTTATCACCTTGTTTATTTTAAGAAAAAGCAGAATTTGAATTTGATGGATTCTTATTGGTTCCTAAAAGACATTTAAAAACAGATATTTTACATTTATTGAGATTTTTTTTAGAATCTCCTGAAGAATGTTATATCTTCATAGTTAATGCTAAACATTAAAAAAAAACTTACACTTCAGTAACAATTTAATGTTTAAAAATAAATTCATTTTATTAATTGAAAGAATTAGATTATAAAATTTTAGCATTAGATATTATGATGAGATAAATTATGATATTGAAATAAGTAAGTAAATCTTAATATATGGCACCAGCAGAATCTGTTCGTAAAATATAAACTTTTAAAAAGACATTTAAATTTCATTAAACTCATACAGTAGATTTTTCTGAAGAAGAGTATAATTTAATTTATGAAGATGATTCAGAAAGAGAAATTTAAATATAATCTAAAAATAATAATATTCTTCCAGAATTTATTCCCTCTTTAGATTCAATTAGAACCTAAAATGAGAAATTATTATTAACATTTGAATAATATAGAGATTACCATAATACTTTAAGTAAGGATAAATCATTTGAATAATAATAAAAACTTGATACTTTAGAAGGTTCTAAATCTGAATAAGATTCAAGTAAATAAAAAAGAAATACTCATTAACTTATTGAAATAGAATTAAATTCAACTGAAGATTAAAATATTGAAGAATAATTATAATTTATTTTAGCTACAGTGAAAACTAGATAAACAAGGAAGGAATTGTTAGAAATGAAAAATTAATTGAAAAATAAACATAAAGCTAGTACTTGGCATGGAAGTGGAAATCAATAAAATTAAAAAAAACTAATTAAAAATATTGTTAATCAATTTTAAAATACACATTTGAGTTCCTTAACTTATATAAAAATAGTTTCATATTTTTTAGTTTTAATTAATATAGGATTTATTTTAGGGTTTGTAATTAATAGTATAATAGGTATAGCTGGTATTTAAATGGACTCTAATAATCAAACATATCCACTTATATTATTCTAAGATATTAATTTAGTTTTATTAGGGATTCAACTTGGTGATAATTAAGAATCTAATTTTGACCTTGCAAATAATTTTATATTATTAGGTGCTGAGTAATATAAAAATTTAAGTATTTAAGTTAATGATATTGAACTTGATTATCATACATTTTTATAAGAACTTGATGAAGAAAAAATAATTGTTTAAGAATTCGGAATACAAATTATCTATTATAAAAAATACTTTTTCAAAAATTTTATGGTTGAAAGACTTAAAACAATTGAAGAATCTGCTTATATTCCAATATTTGGATAAGAAAGTCAATTTTTATTTGATAATTATCCTGAAATAGCAACTTAATTATGGAATTTGAAAAATAAAACTACTAGAGATGTAATTGAAAGAGTAAATGAACTAGATCAGATGTCAAAATTATTACTGATTTTTTCAATCCTTTTTAATTTTATAGCTATAATTATATATCTGATAATTCTTCTATATATATTCTAGTGGAGAAATTAACTTTATTCAACCTTATTTTTATTTAACAACATCTAAACATTTATTACTTTATTATCAGACTCAATTACTAAACAAATAATCTATACTCCAGGAACTAAAAATGACGATGAAGAAAAAAATAAAAAAATATTATTAATTTGGCAGTTATATGGAATTCTAATATTTTTTATACTTTTAATCATCTCCTTAGGTTTCTATATACCACTTTTCTTATATATTGATTCTATTAATTTGTAATCAATTGATGTAAATTAACTTTAAACAGAATTAGCAATGATGCAATTAAAATAGTCGGCCATTCTTACATGGTTAGCTATTAATTAGACTGAAAGCAAGTATAATATAAATTTTGTACATAATAAATCTATTATACAATATGTTATTGATTAGTGTGCACCTTCTGAATATTTTATACTATATGATCTCCCTTTTGATAGTAAATATGATTACTTTCCAGAAATTTAGCAATATTCTACTGTCTCGTTATGTAATTGCTCCTTGTTGTAAAACTAATTAAAAAATGGATATTATGGATTTCAATCTTATGTATCATAACATTTATATGATTCAGAATGGTAAGATGAAATTTTGGAAGCATATAAAATTGTCTTTGAATATTAGATCAAAAAAAAAAAAGAGTTTGATCAATATATGCAAACTAGATTAGTCAATACATAATTTACTTTATAAATTATTTTGGAAATTAGTGTTATAATTATAATTCTAATTCAAACATTATTTCTGTATTTTATCCATAGATAAATTACAAAAATAGTTTAATCTGCAAAAAGCATCATGTACTTATTTCCTCCTCAAATTCTAGCAAACAATAAATATACTTTATAAGCATTAATTTAGGGTAGCACTTAATGATTGTATTTTTATAAATTATTATTTAATTATTATTAATAGCCTTTTTTAAGTATTAAATAATTACTTAAAAAATCTTTATATCATTAAAATATAAAAAAATTATTATCTTTTACACTTATTTGATAACTTAATTAATAGAACATATGTGAAAAAGAGTTATTATCATAGGATATAATTTATATAACATTGATACAATTCCAAAAGATAATTATCTGTTATTTAATAATTATTTTGAAGATTAAATAAATAATAAGAAAGTTTATTATTTGAAATGTTAGTTTATAAGTTTAAGCTAACGATAATTATATATATTAATGGATCCAATACATAATGAATATTATTATAATTTCTGTTTTTCATTAATAATTAAATCTCATGAGTAGAAATGGATTTGAACAAATTTGTAATTAAGCAACAAATTTTTGGAAATCACAACTCTAACCCTAATAAAAATAAGCTGAGGATATTTCTACTAATATTGGTTCGAATATTCTGGTTGAATGCTCTATTTTTGAAGTTTCTTCTAAAAAAACCGAAGAGTTTCTCTTTCCAGAAATCTAAAAACAAAGTTAGGTAAACTAAATTTGTGAAGAAGAATTCCTCTGTCCTTAAATTAATAATTCTTAATAATTTGATATTGATGAGAATATATAAGAGGAGGAAAATAGTTTATCACATTCGGAAAGTTAAAATCGAAAAAAAGAAAAAAAAAAATCAAGAACTAAATCCAATAAATCAAGTAAGAAATTTGATTTAAAAATAAGCTAAATAAAGACTTACAATAAAATAAGAAGCTTTGATTATGGAATAAGCTAGAAAAGAAACTAATCTTATAGATATTGCTTAATTAATTCCTGGTGTAACAGTCAATTAAATTAGACATCTTTTGATGAAAAAACTTAAAAATTTTAATAAAAATAATGATTTTTAAGGTCAAGATATTACGACCCTAATAGAAAGGATAGATAGATTGTAACAGTAATTAAAAAAAATAAAGTTAGGGATGATAATATTGATAATGCGACAAAAATACAAGAGTTAAGATAGCATATACAAACAATAGAGAATCATTTAGATTTAACAAAAAAATTGATCTTATAAAAATATATGATTTTATTTCAATAATAACAATGAGGAGTTAACTCTATAGTTAATCACAGATAAAGTTGAATTCAATATNAAATAATTACTTAAAAAATCTTTATATCATTAAAATATAAAAAAATTATTATCTTTTACACTTATTTGATAACTTAATTAATAGAACATATGTGAAAAAGAGTTATTATCATAGGATATAATTTATATAACATTGATACAATTCCAAAAGATAATTATCTGTTATTTAATAATTATTTTGAAGATTAAATAAATAATAAGAAAGTTTATTATTTGAAATGTTAGTTTATAAGTTTAAGCTAACGATAATTATATATATTAATGGATCCAATACATAATGAATATTATTATAATTTCTGTTTTTCATTAATAATTAAATCTCATGAGTAGAAATGGATTTGAACAAATTTGTAATTAAGCAACAAATTTTTGGAAATCACAACTCTAACCCTAATAAAAATAAGCTGAGGATATTTCTACTAATATTGGTTCGAATATTCTGGTTGAATGCTCTATTTTTGAAGTTTCTTCTAAAAAAACCGAAGAGTTTCTCTTTCCAGAAATCTAAAAACAAAGTTAGGTAAACTAAATTTGTGAAGAAGAATTCCTCTGTCCTTAAATTAATAATTCTTAATAATTTGATATTGATGAGAATATATAAGAGGAGGAAAATAGTTTATCACATTCGGAAAGTTAAAATCGAAAAAAAGAAAAAAAAAAATCAAGAACTAAATCCAATAAATCAAGTAAGAAATTTGATTTAAAAATAAGCTAAATAAAGACTTACAATAAAATAAGAAGCTTTGATTATGGAATAAGCTAGAAAAGAAACTAATCTTATAGATATTGCTTAATTAATTCCTGGTGTAACAGTCAATTAAATTAGACATCTTTTGATGAAAAAACTTAAAAATTTTAATAAAAATAATGATTTTTAAGGTCAAGATATTACGACCCTAATAGAAAGGATAGATAGATTGTAACAGTAATTAAAAAAAATAAAGTTAGGGATGATAATATTGATAATGCGACAAAAATACAAGAGTTAAGATAGCATATACAAACAATAGAGAATCATTTAGATTTAACAAAAAAATTGATCTTATAAAAATATATGATTTTATTTCAATAATAACAATGAGGAGTTAACTCTATAGTTAATCACAGATAAAGTTGAATTCAATATCATTAAATCTCATTATATTAATTGTCTTTTCATCATTTCTTTATTACTTAAAACAAGAAATATTATTCATGAGTTAGCAGATTAAATATATATAGTAATTTAAATTATATAAAATTAGGGTTAGTTAGTGTAATCAAAAAAATTCTAGATAAACTCTTTTATTGAAATCGTTTCTCTTCAATTAATCAAAAAAAGTCTCAATATCTCTTTCATTAGTAAAGAATTTACTCTCATCTGAGACATTTGCTAATTATTTTAAATACAACATATTCATATTTTAATTGGCTATGTTAAATATTAATAAATGTATGTTCTTTTTTTTTATTAAACTTTGAAGTCGATTGATTGACATCTAATTATAATTTTTTACTCCTTCACTAAATACACAAACATATCTAAGTACTTAATCATCTTTTTCTTAACTAATCATATCTATATCAATTTTATATTAATTCTACTTAAATAATTAACAATAAATACCATATTTTCATTAATACTATAGTTTTCTGATAATTCATCAGGACCTTCTTTTATTATTTAACTGAATCCTTATGAAAAGGTTTTACCATTTTTTGAAGAATTAGAAAATGCTCTAAATTCCATATCTGAAAATTTAAATTCTTCTTATTATATTTATTATTTAATTTTGTTAGATTTTAAATGAAAAGCTAATTATTTTCTCTGTTCAAGTTAATCTTTTTCAAACAAAATAGCAATTACTATTTCTAAAACTTGAAATATATTAGCTTATCCGCCAGGTTTAATTAAAGTTTTTTCAATAATTGATTCAAGTAATTTTTTATAAGTTCCTTTCATTTATAATGAAAATATTTCATGAAGAGATTCATTAAATGCATATAATGCAATTTCTGCATCTTCATCTAATTTTTAAATAACATATTTGCACATCGAATGAGATAAAGTAATTTATTCATTTGTCATTTCAGATGAATAATCTATTAAAAAGATTAATTCTATTTTCTTTGGTTAATTTTATTAAGAAAACTTAATTAAACAATCAATATTAATTTTGCATTTCTTAAAAATCTTAGTTAATGATTTTAAAACCAATTTTTACAATCCTGGATCATAATATCCTTCAGCTTTTAAAATAGAAACGAACTTTTATGAAGCTTAATAGTAATCTTAGTCAATCATCATAATTAAAGCCTAATAAATTATTCAAAATATACTTCTAACCCAAATATTTTCTCTTAAAGTATTTCAAGAGGAATATTTCTAAAAATATCTACAAATTCTTTAGTTTCTAATTCTTTAACATCATCTTTGATAGATTTGAGAATTGCAAATTTATTTTAAGCTTCTTATAATTCTTAATATGCTTTTTCCATAATTTTTGCCTTAACAAAGCAAAAAGCCTTTTTTATATAGATATTTATTTTCATATATAAAATAGAGAAGGAATCAGGTAAAATTTAAATATCTTCCATAACATCATTAAATTATTTAACACTTTCATTTAAGAATGTTGATTAAGTTTTAGACATACTGTAATTAAATAAAATACAAGCTAATTAATATTTTCGAAATACAATCTTATATTCTAAGATTTGTTTTTTTTGAAGAAATTCTTCATCAATATAAGCTTTTGAAATTGGAGATGATTTTCTTGGACTTTCTAAATGTTCTAAGAGTTCAGAGTTCTATTATTTAATTAATTGATCTTCCTAAGTAACATTTTTAATTTAATTTGTCGTTTATCTTATTGCTCTAGATTCAAATTCTGCTTGACTTTTAATTTAAGATATTTCTATAAAATTTCTAGTTTTTTAAATAGTTTATCCTCTTGATAGATTAGGTTATGAATTTTAAATGACACCTGTCTTTTTTACTATATCCTTAATAACACTTTTCATTACTTAATCTTCTTGTCTCTAAAATTTTTATAAAACATTATTTTTAAGTCTTAAATATAATTTTTTAAGTTATTAATCATCTTAAGTTTAAGCAGCTTAATTAGCGTACTTTTGCATTTCAATTAAACTTTATAAATCTTAATTTGCTATTAAAACAGACTCCTCTTATTCGTTCATTGCTTCTAAATATCTTTGATTTTTCATATGTATTCTAGCAATATTATTAGCACATATGCCAATAGCAGGATTATTATTATATTTTTTATAAAAGCTTTTAGACATACTTAAGATTATTAGAGCTTCTGCTTCATTAATATCTTATGATTCTTATAAGAGTTTATTATTTTAATATTTTATGCTATTTAGAAGATTAATAATTGATTCATAAGATTATCTAATTTCTTGATTATAATATAGAGAAGAATAACCTTATAAATTAAAATCTTAAATTTCAAGATACTTCATATCAACATCAGTTAACTTAATTAATTAACTTATTGGTGTTTCTAAAGATAAAGCTAAAACAACTCCTTTTCTCCAAAAGTACAAAAATAAAACAACATGAATAGCACATCCTATAATTATTTAATTTATTAAAGTTTGTTATGCAATTTCATTTTTTCCAGGTTATTATAAGTATTCATTAAGAGACATTGAATATAGAAAAACAACAGAACAATTTTTCAATAATTGTTCTGTCAAATTGATAAACTGATTATCTGGATCTACAAAGTAATAAGATGAAAAGAATAAAATTCTCTATTATCCCATTCCATCATAGAACATTTTCCATTCTCTTTATTCTATTGGAACACTAATTAATGAATATAATTAATTTTAAAAATTTTCAGTTTAATTAGACCATAATTATAATACATCTTCTAAAGTTCCACTTTATAGATTACCATTTTAAATTATATTTAATTAACCATTTGTTAGTATTGAGTAAATAATAGGTAATTTAGAATCTATAATTGATAAGCTTTTTTTACTACGAATTTATAAAATACATTAATTCCCTTATTTTCCTATCTTCAATTTCCATTTTTCAAAATTTGATTCAATTTATGGAAAAACAATTTCAGAAGAAAATTGATTTATATATTATTCACAATCAGTAAGACTATTACAATTTTTAATTATTCTTTAGTACCATTCATTTGATTTTGCTATACTTTTACTTAGAAATGAGATGCCTAAACCATTTTGACATAGTATATTAAATTCTTCAAATATTGAATTTTCAGAATAAATTTTTATAAATCTAACAAGTGGTGAATATAACTATAAAGTTTAATATTAGCTTTAGTATTAATCTTTTAATTATTTAAGACTATCTATTTATTGATAGTGCCAAAATATTTAATCAAGTTCATTTTCTCTCAATTATTAAAAATGATTGATAGAATCGATAATTTTAGATATACTATATAGTGAATTAATATCTGGTCTTATTGATCTGCCATAATAAAATCTGGTAAAACGAATAGAGTTCTAACTCACAATTTAAATATTACTAATGAAGTTTCTGTGTAAAGTTAAGAAGACAATATTTCACTATTGGAGATGTTAGTACCATTAAAATATTATCCTAAAAGTACAATCAAACTACAAAGGAAATAAAGAAGAGTAAGAAATACTGTCATTATCATAAGCCTATATCTCAATTCCATTAAAATTATTTATAAATAGATTTTCAATAATAGACAATTTATTTAATTGCAATTGAGTATAAAATAAAAAATTCTTGATTCTTCTTAATTTATGATATATTTTGTAATCTTAGAATAATAATTTTAATCTTAATTTTAAATTAAATATTGGAAATCTGAAGTTTGATAATAAAAATCTAAAATTTATAAATTGATTTAAGTTTCATTAAATATCATCTATATATTAAAATTCTTTAAAAATATATCACAACCCGATTCTACTTAAAATAGAATTAATGTATTGACTAGTAGAAAATACTCCTCCAATTACAGCAAAGATGGCAACTATCAATTAAGTCCAAGATGATATTTTGCTTCTATAAATAGTTGTTATTGGATCAAATTCATATTTAAATATAACCTAAGGCAATCTTTCACTTGTAGGCATTCTGACTATAGATAACATTAAAAAATCTTACTTTTATTCATAAGCTGTAAATGTATACAAATCTGCCTCTGTAAATAATGTTTCATAATGACTTTCAACTAATTTCAAATAATATTAAGTATCTTCATTCTATTCTAAAGAATGAGATGTTCCATCAAGTGTATTTGTAGTTTTAAAATATTTACCAAGAGTTGGTCCTACCTTTTAGGGTGTAAATTCTAACAAATTAATAGTATGTGAAAGTTAAATATCTTAAGAAATTAACTATTTATATAATTCTATATTTTACACTAACTGCTTATCCTTTTCCATGAAAACTTATATGAAAATTACCAGGTATTCTTTTAATATAGAAATGACCAAATATTTAACATGATTCTCCATAAGTAAATGCCATAGCTGTTAAATCATTCAAATCAATATATTGTTAACTTCTCTTTTCCTCTCCAAAATCTTAAGTAAATAACATTCTTCTTCCATTTTATTGAATATACGAATATTTGCATTATTAAATATTTTCCTTTCTTGGTAAAGGCCAATCACGACTTGCATAAGCCAATAAAACATCTTAACATGTTATACATTTTTATCCTTCAAATAATTATGCTCCATAGCAATCATTTACTTCATTTTCATTATACCAATTCCATCCATATAATGATTACTCAAATAATTTAACACTTTCTGCATAATTACTATTAATGAATTTTCCATTTTTAATTCTTAATTTATGTATTGTATATTCCATATCTTCTAAATGAGTACCTGTAATATCTTATTAATCTAAGGATAATGCAAAACATGTCATATTATGAATTGTTATATTCAAATTTACTCTTATCCTTTCATCCAGATTAGTAGTATCAATCATAGATAATACTTCTAATGAAAATGATCTTATTATTTCTCCTATTATTAAAAATCCAACTGAAAATATTGTTATTAAAGCTAATATTCCTCCACAGGTTGTTTTCTTAGTTTCTACTTTAGACTTCGTAAATAAATTGATTTATTACATTAAATTAATTTATTTTTTAAACTTATATTACTTTTAATATATATTTCAGTTATTCAATTATGTGAAAATTATTTCTATTCTTTTCATCTTTCATTAATTTAAATTACTTCGAAAATTCTCAATAATATTTTAAATATAATGAAAAGGATTATGTCTTTAAATAAATTTGAATATTCGAATCAAAATTGTTATCCTAAAATAAATAATAGTATTTTGTTGATTATTAAACTAATCTAAATATTTTGAAAAATATGTAATTTTATTTGCCAAATAAGAAACTTAAGTATATTCATGTCTTAGAAATCTTAGTATGCTGAACTTTTTATTGTTATTAAGAATAATTGACTTTTTAGTTAAGGAATAAATTAGTATTCTAAATAAATACAATAAAAGATCAATTCAAACTCATTTTAACACTAAATGGATAAATTTAGAATTTTCTTAACAAAATTTGACGTGTTTCTATGAAATTTTCTCACTTGAACTTGAACTATGAAAGGATTCTCTTTTTTTTAAAATACTTTTAATCTCTATTGATTCTTTAGATAGATTAGATTAGCTTGGGCTTTTAGAGAAGGAAGCCATCTTTTGACAACTATAATGAGATTCCTTTTAGACTTTTTTGATATGACTCTATTTACGCCGTAATGCTGAACCAATTTCTTATTATAATGGATCATCTTGTTGAATAATTTGTAGATGAATATTCTAAAGAGATTTACAGATATCAGCTTTTGTTTTTACATTTAAATCACTTAGTTTTTGATAATTTTGATATAATGGAGAATCATTTTATTAAAGTTCTTTATCCAAGTCACTTGACATAAAATCAATTAAAGATAATAATATAATTAAAGAATTGCATTCAATAAAAAGTTAAAATGACATTGATGTATTTATTTAATTGTGTACTCTAAAGTATGAAATTTAATAAAATAATATTGAAAATATAATAATAAAGTATTTTAATAACACGATAATTAAAAAAATTAGAGAAATCTTCAAATAGAATATATAATATTTATTTAAAAAGATGAATGGTTTAAATCCAATCGAAAATTACAAAGTTAAAGAATCTAATGTTGAATATACACTGTATTATAAAAACTTATGAATTTGAATTATAAATTAAAAGTAATTTATAGTGGAGAGAACACTTGTAAATAACAAATATAAACAATATTATTAAAAGATGACTTAAATAAATGGGATTGAAGAAAAATATTGATTTGATTTATAAAGATATATGTAAACCAAACATTAATAAGATTTAATATTTATTGGAAGCATTAAAAGATTTTAAATATCTGAATTTATAAAATTGGACAATAAAATAATAGAAAAAGGGATAATGAGATTCAATAATTAGAATAACGATAAAATTAATAATCGAATTTTATGAAATTAATATAATGCATAATGATGTTTGGAGAGCCATTATCATAGTTATAAAAATCAATAGACAGTTCCTCATTAGATTAGAGTTTTTATATTTTTTGATCGAATAGAGAATATTCAAAATGTAATAGATGAGAATGGAACAGTATAGAACGAAAATACTATTCGTAATAAGAAATAATAAATATAAAGACTATTTCAAAAAATATTTAGATGAAGGATTATCTAAAAAATAAGAATCACTAAATATTATTAAAGATATACACTACTTTTAATAATAAAATAAATGAAGGGCAATGGATGCCATAAGATGAATGGATGGAGAGTAATATAATTTTAGTAATTATAATTATCAGCATAATATATTAAAAACATTTTATTTTAAATTTTTATTTTGTTAAAAGTTTTTCTAGATTTTACACAAAATTTTAATCATAAAAAATGGCGTATAAATTAAAGGATATTATTTATTTTATATCTTATAAATTTAGCATCTATGCTCATATGTCTAACATTAAATTAAATAATTTTGAAACCAAAATTTACTAAATTTATTTAATTTACAAATTTGCCATAATCTTATACTACTGCTTACTGATTGTTATTAATTTTACAATTTTAACATTTCTATTTCTCTTTACACTCTTTACTTAACCTTCAATTTTTTTTATAAGAATGTAGATCACTATTTATACTATTAAACTATTTACTCTAATCTATTTATCAAATACCTTGGGGAACAAAAAGATTTATTGAAGATTAAAGTCAAAGTAAAATTGTTTAATGGTAAAATCTCTTAAAAATCTCTATTTGTGATTAAAGAGATTGTATTAATTTGTTTAGTTTCTGGAATATTAATACTTGTTTTAAGAATGGATATTAGATATCTATCTTAATTTTAAATTAATGTTCATTTTGGTAATATAGTCTTATATATTGTATAAAGATTCTTAGATTCTTAGCTACAATCCATTTTATGTATATTTACATAAGTAAAGGTATGAATTAAAAAGAGATAAGTAAATTATAAAATAATTAGATTAATAAATTTAATAGATAAAACATTTGATTATAAGAAATTTCATGGCAAAAATGTTTGATTGAATTTTTATTATTTTAAACTTGTTATTTTATTTTAAATATCGCAATTTTCTTAATTTCTTGAATATTGGGAATGCTCTTCTGAATCATTTCTTATGCTAACTTCAAGTTCACTTTTTCTTATTTATTAATCACCTAATGGAGTATCTTCCATAGGATCAGGTAAATGAATCTCATGGATTTAAAAATTTTCACTTTTTAATTCACTATTAACATCATAATTAATTTCCTTAGAAGATTTAAAAAGACTTGAACTTTTCAAATGTTTTAGTTGGCTAGCTCTACTCCTTTTCATATTTCCAAGACTTTACAATCTAGAATGTACACTATTTAAACTTTCAATTCTTGATTCATCCATCATTGGAGACAATGCCATCTTTCTCTTATTTTCTCTATAAGAATGTATTAATTAATTAATTTCTATAGATTTTTTTTATTCTATATTTTTTTCTATTTTCATAATCTATATATATAAGATATTAATTTTACTCTTTATTTCATTTTGAGTCTCCTCATTCTATATTCTAAATGTAAATCAATCTCTTCACTTANCTTATAAATTTAGCATCTATGCTCATATGTCTAACATTAAATTAAATAATTTTGAAACCAAAATTTACTAAATTTATTTAATTTACAAATTTGCCATAATCTTATACTACTGCTTACTGATTGTTATTAATTTTACAATTTTAACATTTCTATTTCTCTTTACACTCTTTACTTAACCTTCAATTTTTTTTATAAGAATGTAGATCACTATTTATACTATTAAACTATTTACTCTAATCTATTTATCAAATACCTTGGGGAACAAAAAGATTTATTGAAGATTAAAGTCAAAGTAAAATTGTTTAATGGTAAAATCTCTTAAAAATCTCTATTTGTGATTAAAGAGATTGTATTAATTTGTTTAGTTTCTGGAATATTAATACTTGTTTTAAGAATGGATATTAGATATCTATCTTAATTTTAAATTAATGTTCATTTTGGTAATATAGTCTTATATATTGTATAAAGATTCTTAGATTCTTAGCTACAATCCATTTTATGTATATTTACATAAGTAAAGGTATGAATTAAAAAGAGATAAGTAAATTATAAAATAATTAGATTAATAAATTTAATAGATAAAACATTTGATTATAAGAAATTTCATGGCAAAAATGTTTGATTGAATTTTTATTATTTTAAACTTGTTATTTTATTTTAAATATCGCAATTTTCTTAATTTCTTGAATATTGGGAATGCTCTTCTGAATCATTTCTTATGCTAACTTCAAGTTCACTTTTTCTTATTTATTAATCACCTAATGGAGTATCTTCCATAGGATCAGGTAAATGAATCTCATGGATTTAAAAATTTTCACTTTTTAATTCACTATTAACATCATAATTAATTTCCTTAGAAGATTTAAAAAGACTTGAACTTTTCAAATGTTTTAGTTGGCTAGCTCTACTCCTTTTCATATTTCCAAGACTTTACAATCTAGAATGTACACTATTTAAACTTTCAATTCTTGATTCATCCATCATTGGAGACAATGCCATCTTTCTCTTATTTTCTCTATAAGAATGTATTAATTAATTAATTTCTATAGATTTTTTTTATTCTATATTTTTTTCTATTTTCATAATCTATATATATAAGATATTAATTTTACTCTTTATTTCATTTTGAGTCTCCTCATTCTATATTCTAAATGTAAATCAATCTCTTCACTTAACGCTTTATATAGACTCATTAAATTTGCTGTCAATTCATCAAATAACTATTGCGATTATACTAAATAATCTAAGACTTTTTCATTATTCTCATATAACTATTCTAAACGGTTTTTCATAAATTATAATTCTCTCAAATTTAATTAATCATTTGTTACAGCTTCATTTGTAATTTGATATTTTTATTTTAATCTATCTATTTCTTCTGTTTCTTCATTTTCTTTTAATGTTCTATAAAAGTTTATACCCATAATAGCAACAGGTAATGATATTGTTGTTGTTCCTAATAAAGCTGTTATACATGCTATAAATTTTCCTTCAATTGTATGTGGTATCAAATCTCCATAACCAACTGTTGTCATTGTAACAATACACCACCATATTGCTTCTGGAATTGAATTTATTCTATTCTCTACTTAATCATTTTCATCTTCATTATATTCCAAATAGTATATGATAGTTGAAAAAAAAATAACCATTAAAAATAGCATCACTATCAACATTAACATATCTTTCAATGAATTTCTCACTGTTTCTGCCTTTATTATCAACATTTATTACTAACATCGAAATCTCCTTCAAAAATCTTGATAATTTGAACAAACGAAAAATTCGAATAAATCTAATTAATCTCAAAACTCTCAACTAAGAAAATGAGTCTTCAGTCAATATTGAACTCAATAAAAATGGTAGTATTGATACAAAATCAATTAAATTCATTGGAGATACAATAAATTACAATAGTGATTTATCAAATGCACTTGTTGAAAATAATCGTAATACTAAAACATAATTATATAAACTTACAATACTCTACACCAAAAAACACAAATAAATATAGTTCAATTGATGAACTCACAGAATCATATGATCCATTAGAAGATTCATAGATAGAATCAACTATTATTGAAATACATGATAATAAAATGCTTAACAAAAGTATTATCTAAATTCCTTTAGCTAATTTTGAACTTTATGGATCTTCTAACAATATATATATATGCTATTAACATTCCTTAATTAAAACTCTCAATTTTCCAAAACAATTTTAATTCATCAATTTTTTTCTTAAAGCAAAATCTTCTGTTTTTAACTTTCTTAAAAATGAAGCTTTTGTTTTTTAGTTACTCAATTTAATATTTTGGCTTTATTTAGAAATAGATGAAGAATTAGAAGAATTTGATTTCTTCATATACTAAATTTTTATTAATATTATATGAAAAGAGTAAATAATTTAAATTATAGATAATTTAACCTTTATTGAAAAAGATGAAATAATGAAGTGAATATGAATTAGAATTACAAAAATAATTTATATTAAGACAAAATAAAAAAGATTGTCTTAGATCATTTTTCTGTTAATTCTCTAAATCCTTTCCAATCTTTAGGTGCTTTTCCTCCACTTGAATGAATAACTTCTAAAAGTGTATTTGAAGGTCCATCTTTATGTTCAGGTATCATAGTCTATAAAATATAATAGATAATAAATTACTAATGTTTTTTAAAATGTTTATTACGCTTCACTCCAAGATCCTTTTATGTATTAATCAAATCCTTATTTCCAAGTTTCATAAAATACCTAAAATGTCTGCAATATAACAATACTTAAGTATAAGGTTCTCTTGCCGCAGCCAATTCATCATCAATTGAAAAAAATTCAGAAACAGAGACTGAATTATTTTCAACTTTCTTCATTAATTCTTCCCTCTTAAATCTATTTAAGACTCTAAATTTCTTGGATTCCTTTTATGTCATTTAAGACACATCAAATTTATCTCTTAATCCTTTGATTTTTGATTATAGATTCTTAATGGACATATCAACAGTATGCAATTCTTTTATTATTTATATAGAATTATACCTAAAGGTACAATACTTCCTTTAACAGTAACAATATCTATCATTCTCATTTATTTTTAGCATTCTTCAGTTAGATATTATTTTAAAATGCCACTAACCAAAATAAGTGCTCCAAATTATTTTGTAGCTGCTTCTAATCTAGATGCCATATTAACATTAGGACTTAGATAAGAAGCATCTATTTTAAAACCAGATCCTATTGCACCTTCTATGCCCCATCCCATGTGTAAACCAAATCCCATTTTAACTGAATAATCTTTCATTCTTGCATTTAAACCCTCATGTTTTTTATATTTCTCTAATTTTTTAGAAATTGAAATTGCAGTTATTATTTTTAAAAAAGCTAAAACAGCCATATCTCCTTTTTATTTTATATATCGATCATTCTTTAACTTTAAATTTTTTGGATTATCAGGATCTGGATGATAATCTTTTGGAGAATATTTCCAAACTAATAAAAAAGCATCTCCTATATTTTTATTAGCTGATCCACTCATTGAATCAACTGTTGAATGTACAATTTCAGCTATCTCATTTACAAATACCATTACACCTTATTATAATACTTCTGTAGCCTATACAAATACATTAATATTTTAATACATCTGTAAAATTTCTTATATCACAAAAACCAAATATAGCTAATATTTTTTTACCAGGAATCATTGGATCAACACTTCCACCTTTTTTAATATTTTCAGCTATAATTTCAGAACCTGCTTCACCAAAACCAACTGCTAATAATGCTCCAACTTTCATTATCAATCTTTGTAAAACATATGTCTCCATATGTTTTTCAATTTCTTTTTATTTTAATTTTTCTACATCTTATTATTTTTCTAATTCCTCCATAATTAAATCTTCTTATTCTTCAATATTTACTGCTTCTAATGGATTTTCTGCTATTTTTTCAATTTTTTGCATCATAGCTTCAATTGGATCAATAACCAAATCTGAAACATCTTTACTAAACATTAAAGCTGAAACTGCTAATACAATACAAACAAACACAGTTTAAAAGATTGATAAAATAGCATTTGTTTAATTATAAACTACTAAATCAGCTGCTGCATATGTTTATAAATCTGATCCTTCTGCTTTTACATAATATTGAAGATCTGAAAATCTGTATTGATTTTTTGTCTCATATGCAGGTTATTCAAATATTTCAGGATCTGTACTATAACTCCATTCATGTAATTTAGAATTTGAATCACCTTCTAATTTAACATCTACACTATAAATTGGAAATATTTCAGAAACATGGAATTATGCATATTAATTTAAAAGAGATTTCATCATCTAATTATTATTTCTAAATTAATAGATTCTATATATTCCTGAGTCATAACTACTAATCATTTCTTAATAGGTATCCAATGAAAGAACTGGAATACTTATAAGAATAGCTAAAATTATAGTAATAACTCTTCTCATGACCAAATCAGAAAGTTAAGCTCCAACAATAGATTCTTTTATTTAATCTTCAGAATTCGTTTAAGATGTTTTTAAATGAGAACTAGATTACATAGAATTCTTATCAGGAGTTCTTGAAGAATCAATATCATTTTAAGATCCTCTTTATTCATCATTATTAGATACAATAGGAAGTACTTATTAATTAGATGTAACTTATAATTATTATTATTATTATTATTATTATTATTATTATTATTATTATGGTATTTATTAATCTTAACTTTTACTTTATTATGCTTATCTTAATAATTCTTAAAGTAATTTTTTTTATTATTCTTTTTCCATTTATTATCTTGCATGTTTATATAATTTTACTAATCTGACTAATCTAATAACTCTTATAACTCTAGCTGCCTTTCTAGCAGCTCTAGATGCAGTTCCAATAGATTTAATTTAAGCAGCACTGGAAAGATCTCCTGAATACCAAGTATCAGTAATCCATCCTAAATCTAATATCATTGTAATTGTAGATATTACATCTAAAACAAAATAAAACTATATCTTATTATAAATAATTACATTTAACACATATTCTGGCTTACATATACTCGTAAGAATTATCTCAGCTAAAAACGCAACCATACAAATGACTGTTAAGACAAAGAATACATCATCTCCTTATTTATCAACTGACAGTATACGAATGTCATCTCCAAAGAGTGCATAAATTGTAACTATAGCCATCAATATAGAAAAAGGAGTGCTTTCAGTTACTTTTAAAATCTTTTTAGATAAATCAGATTATTATTTCTAAACATGATGTCTATTCTTCAATTTACTATTCATTCTTTTTACTCGTCTATTTGTTACCTCTGTCATATTTATAATTATAAATTACATTAAGTTGGAGATTTAGCACCTCCTGAACTCTTTATAGATACATCATCCTGACTATGATGATTAGATCCAATCATTTATTTATTCAATTTTTTTAATTCATCTTAGGGTGGTTCTAACTTTCTAATTAATGGTTAAGCAGTCTATTTATCAGTTAACTAATATTTATTATTATATACTAAAGGCACCTAGTTTTATCCCTAATTCTCTGAAGAACGCTTTGCTGATCTGTCAGATGGTAACTGAAGCTATTTATTTATCAATTTATTTTCTACATTTGGATCAGATACCATCTCATTAAAATTCTTTACAACTTGAGATGGAACAAATACCTCTCCTAAACCTTGTTCTTCATTTACAAGCTTATCTTGCTCATTTGGCACGTTCATATTTTAATAAATTAAATATACACAAATGATTAATAATATACAACCCTTATTTGGTATGTATAAAGAACTTTGGATTGAAAATGCTACTTAATTAAAAGATGCTTTAGATAAATGGGATCAACATCAATTAAAATCTTGGCTTCAAAAAATGGAAAGTCTTATTTTTTCATTTATTTATAGGAGCCATATTTACATTCCAATATGATTAATGTATTGGACTCTTAGATGAATTCTAACCCAATTATATTTAGAATCTGCCTTCAGACATGGCCATATAATGTAATAAACTCAGGACTATGTTTTACAATAACTCTACACAATATTTAATTGTTAATACCTATCTTGTATTATTACGTTCCTTAAAAAAATCTCTCGAACCAATTTTTCATTCTAATAATTTGCTTAATTCTATTAGAAACCTAGAATTATATCTATCCTCACCCTTGAATTAAAATACTATCAAGCCATAAGAATGTAATTGCACTTAATTTTGAAAATTTGTTTATAAAATATACAAATTTACTATCATAAATTACTTTCGAACCTAATTTATAACTTACTTTTTCTTTAAAAAATTAATTTCTTACAACAATCATGGCCATTTTTTTAAGTTTAAAAGTATTTTTTATAACCACAATCAATTAGACATGAATTTAGAACAGATAGTTTTTTAATTTTTATCATATTGCCGATGATTTTATAATTAAATTAAATAAAAGATATTAGAAATAATTGGTTAGTCATAAATTAATATAATATTATAGGATAATTATTCAATATAAAAATTCAAATTTTATAATTACACTTTATTAATATCACTATTAACTTTAAATTTATTAGATATTCAAGGTTTCTTATAGATGTTAATCCTACTCAATATCTTCTAAGAATTCTTCTATTTATTATTCTTCCTAGCCCTCCTTTTTTTTATTTTTTTTCTCTTAATTATCTTCTATTTCTAATCTCTTTAATTAATTTTTTCTTTTCTTGTTTTTTTCTGGTTTTCTTCTTATAATAATTAGCTCTGGTTTATCATGAATTTCATCTAATTCATTATTATACTTATTTAAGTCAAATCCTTGAACTGTCATTCCTGTTTATAAAAAATTTCCTAAATGTGATCTAACTTAATATTGTTTATAATCTGGATCATTATCTTTCATAAGTTCAACAGAACAGAGTGTATCTTAAAATGGATTACTCGAATCATTTTTCTAAGGTTTGATTTTTTCAACATCCAAAATAATGAATTCATCACAGTTTTCTCTTAAAGGCATAGTTCTAATGTCCAAATCATGTTTGAAATATTATTCTGATGAGATTTCACTAACTTTTAGTTTAATAGGATCAATTAATTAAATTGAACTTGCTACTCTGTAGCATATCTAAACTCTATTTATTCCTCCTAATTGATGGCAAAGCTTATGTGGTAAAATCACTAAATCATCCTTGCATATTCTTGGTACATCAACAACAAATGTATATTTTATAAATGAATAAACTTCTTTTGATTCTTTCACCTATATTGGAAGATATGATCGAATAAATTCTAACATATGAAGAGCTTAATTTTTTTATTTAAAATAAAAATTTAATCCATCATCTGCTGGTTCTACTTTGAGAATTTATTAATTCATATGATGTTATAAAATTAGTTATTCTAAATAAAAAAATGACTTTTTATGATTAACTCTTTGTCTTAATTGGATACAAGCTCCCCAAATATGAGGAGTAAATTCTCTCTTACAATCTTCACATTAATGATAAACTTCTTCAAAATTTAAAACTTTTGAATCTTAAATACAAGTTCCATTCATAGCTTCTTATTATACAGTTATTTATAATTTTATTTGCTTTGTGCTTGGCTCTGTAAAAATAAACTTTGTGTCAATTATTGTCTTTTCAGATAATCTAATATGAAATTAATAAATCTATTACCCAATTACCTTTTTTAAGCAGATAGCTAATAATTCTTTTGAATCTCTTTCACAAAGAACCCAAGGAGGTCTTTAATATCTCCTACAATATCGACAAAATAATATTTCTTTATCATTATCAATATCTAGCTCAATTTTAAATATACCTTTTGTAATATTCATTTAAGCAATCAAACAATTTGGACAAATATTTGTTTTTGTTAATTTTGGTTCAAATTCTAATTCACAGAGAGGACATAATATTAAGACTGCTCTTTGCAACATTGTTAATTATTTTAAAATGATTATTATATTTTTTTTCCTTTATTCAGTACAATCATATACATTTGTGATTCATGGAGAAAACACAACATTAATTGAATAAGATTCAATTTTATCTTCCAAATTTTCTGAAGTATACCCTATTTAAACCTAATGTTAACCTATTCGACTCTATATTGTTGGATCAACCTAAAACGGAAGTTAATTTATTCTGAAAAACAATAATGAAACAGATTTGCACTTTAAGTTTAATATAAAATCTATTGATAAAGAGATAATTAACATTCATTATAAACAATCATAAGAAAAAATTACTATTTAACCTAATGATTCTTATGAATTTCATGTAAAATATATTTGCTTGAAAAGTATTTAAGATAAAACTTGGACTACAATCGAAATAATGTATTAAATTAATGAAAGATAACACACCTTATATTATTATAAATTATGTGAAGCATCAGATACGTTTTTTCATCCATTAGTTATTTTGTTGTTTTCATCCTTAATAATTATATTGAGTGGATCAATTTATGGGATTAAAGAATAGTAAATGTTTGGAGGACCCTAAACTGAGGCTTATGGGCCTAAAGCTGCTATAATTTTCATTTTTGTTTCAAGCATTCTTCTAATTTCCCTTTATAAGTTTTAAAGCTTCGCTTCTAGTTTCACATATATAATCATAATGTTTACAGCCTTTATTTCAATAGAAACAATATTATTAGATTTCTAAAATGAATATTTATATTCGAACAATGTCAAATTTTTAATCTCAACAATAATAAGCGGAGTTATAATAGTTATATACCATTATAATAAAACATGGATATTCAATAATATTTTAGCAGTTTCCATAATATTATTTAGCTTTAGAGTAATAAATATAATAATAAATTAGATTTTAAAGCTTGATTCATTAAAAACAGGAACTATATTTATGTTATTGGCTTTACTATATGATTTGTTTTGGTTATTTGTTAGTCCATCAATATTTGGATAACCTGTTATACAAAATATTACCACTACTTTAGAGTTGCCTATAAAGCTATTAAGTCCATCATTAATTAAAAATTGTAATACACCTTATTAACAATGTTCAATTTTAGGAATTGGTGATATACTTATTGTAGGATTGATCATCAAATATATTTTGAAGTTCTAAATAATATCTGGTGAAAATAGCTTATTATTTTGTTCATCTATTTTAGGATATGGAATTGGATTAAGTTCTTATTTTATTCTAATGCATTATTATCATATCTAATATCCAGCATTGTTTTATGTTATACCAACTACACTTGTATCAATCATAGTCCCAAGTCTTTTTAAATCATTGTTCCTTCGAATTTGGAATGGTGCTTTCGCAATTAAATTAGTTGAAGAATAAGAATTAGAAATGATTTGATTACTATGTTAATTTTTTAAATTTTAATTTTCATATATGGGAAGTAAGAATGAATCTTAAATTTCTTAGATCTATGTGGATAAGAAAGGCAAGAGCCTACTTAAACGATGTAATCTAAAATCAAATATGATGGGAAAATTGGAAATCTGTAACTATAAGTAATTTAAGGAGATGTTTTATCAGAGAAGGCAAATGCTTTTTGTAACATATAATTATATAATTTTTAAGTAAACGTTGCAAATGATCCATACAGTACATAAATAATAAGGAACATAAGAGAAATAAAAAAATTAACATGTATTATAATTTTTCTATATTTAAGTAAAAAATGGTGTTCCATAATTAATAAATATTGATTAAAGCAATATTGATTTTATTATTATGCTCAAAATGTGTGAAGATTATGTAATATAAATAATTTTTATATTTAGGAAGTTGATTATTAAAATTAAAGAAAAGAAGGTTTTCTAGCTTCCTTCTAGTTAGCAAATGAAAAAAATCTAAAAATATTATCTTTTACAGATCCTCCTTAATAACTTACTTAAAAAAGGGAAGATGATTATTATATTGAATTATTTTTATCAGCATTATTGAAGCATAAAAAAACTTAATAAAATTGTTAAATTGAAAGCATTAAATTGATAAACTTAGAGGTCAATCTATCAAATGTATATATTAAGACAATAAATAAATACATGTTGAAATTATAAAAGAGTGAATAGGAACAAAACTAATAATAAGAAGAAAAAATAATAACTTAGAAAACAGAAGAATTTTAAGAAGAGACTTAACAAATATAATAAAGTTAAGAATTAAATAAAAATACTTAAGTAGTTAAAGAATAATCTGAATAAATTAATGGCTAAATTATAGAGGAAACGAATAATGAAAATAAATAAGATGTTCATGTATAATTAGAGACTGAATAAATTTAGCAAATTGTAGAATAAAATTAAAATACATAAATAGTTTAAGAATAATCAGAAAAAATTAGTGTATAAAAAATATTCGAGACGAATAATTAAATTGCATAAGTAGTTTCAGAATAAGAATATAATTAAAAAATATAACAAAATATAGAATCAAATAAAGATACCGAAATAGTTTAAGAATAATCTGAATAAAATAATATTTAATAAATAGTAGAAACGAATAATGAAATTTAATAAGAAGTTCTAGAAAATTTAAAATCAAAATAAGTTGAAACTAACGTTGAAAAAAAAGAAGAAACAAATGATAAAATTAAATAAGAAGTGTATGTCTAATAAGAGACTTAACAAAATGAAAAAAATAAAGAATTAAATAAAGATAACGAAGTAGTTTAAAAATTATCTGAATAAACTAATGATTCACAAATAGAAGAATCTATTACTGAAATTAAATAAAAAGTTCAAGAAAATTTATAATCAAAATAAGATAATGAAGCATTTTAAGGATAATTTGAATAAACTAATATTGAGTAAATAAAAGAACCAAATAAAGAAATTTTATAAGAAATTCATGTATAATAAGAGATCAAACAAATTGAAAAAAATATAGAATAAAATAATGATAATGAAGCAGCTTAAGAATAATCTGAATAAAATAATATTTAAAAAATAGAAGAAACAATTAATGCGATCATATAGGACGTTCCTTAATAAGAAGACGCATAAAAAATTTAACAGAATATAGAATTAAATAAAGATAACGAAGTAATTTAAGAATAATCTGAATAAACTAATGATTAACAAATAGAAGAATCCAATACTGAAATTAAATATGAATTTCAAGAAAATTTATAATCAAAAGAAGATAATGAAACAAATTAAGGATAATTTGAAGAAACTAATATTGAGAAAAAAGACAAAACTAATATTGAGAAAAAAGAAGAAACTAATGATGAAACAAAATAAGAAGCTCATGTTTAGTTAGAATCTAAGCAAATTTAACAAAATTTAGAACTAAATAAAGATGCTGAAGTCGTTTAAGATTAATCTGAATAAACTAATGATTAACAAATAGAAGAATTTAATACTGAAATTAAATAAGAAGTTAATATATAATAAGAGACTTAATAAATCGAATAAAATATAGAATATAATAAAGATACTGAAGTAGTTTAAGATTTGTCTGAAAAAATAGAATAAGAAATTCAAAGCAATGAGCAAAATTGATAAATTATAAGTGTCTTATAAATTATGTTAAATTCAGCATTATTTTTCAAATTAATTTTTTTTATTAAGTTTTATTTAAATTATCCTATTATTCCTAAAGAGTATCAGAACTCCAAATTGATTAAAAAAAATTTCTCTTTATAGATGGGTTTCTCATATGTTTTATTTCCTCTGTGTTTTTAAGCTAAAAAAAAAGGTCAACTATTTTCATTTTTTTATCTTTAAAGTATAAATGGATTTGTTAATGTCATTAATAAATACGCATTTCTTAAAAGTGAGTCAAAAAAAATTAATTCATCGTTTATTTCGACGATAACAGAATAACTTTCTAGGATTGATCCTAAGTATCTTCATGCCTTATGTAGAAAAAGTAATAACTCTCAATTTTTATATTCGGCTATTGTTTATAATTTTAAAATTAATTAAGCAATTTAGGCTAATTTGACTAAGCATTATAATACATAAATAAAGCTCTAAAGATTAATTCTAATTACATCGTTGCGTTACATTAGAGAGGTAATATTTTATCAATATTAATAGTATTAATTTGAAATACAATCATAATATAATTTGTTAAAAGCTTTCAATTTTTATTTTTTTTACTATGAAACAATTACATAGAAATAGTCAAATATATATTTACATTTACATCGCCTAATGGAAAGTAATATGATGTATTTTTAAAGAATTTGTATTTAATTTTAGTATGTAAAGGATAAGAAACATGGATTTGGAGATTTTACTTTTAAGATGGATATATCTATAAAGAAAGTAATTGGTTTGAAGTTATGTAACATTGTAATGGTACACTTTTATACAAAAAGTAGAATATGTAGAGAAGGTGAATAGTTAAAAGGAAAAAGTGTAAAATGGTTGGGTTTATATCAGGCAGTTTAAGATTTTGCAACTTAAATAATATATCTTTCTAATTTTGCTCTTAAATTAATTTTATGTGACATCATGCAAATTCTGTGCTGAAATATAACAAATAGTTATGAAAATACGAGAGGTTATAATTGTTTATAGAAGAAGAAGTCAGTAGATGAGTAAATAGATGAAGAGACACGAAATATTTATAGTGAAAAGGAAGACATGAATATAGAGTAGACAAAAGACTTTGATCCAAGTTAATGGTAAATTTGGACATGTATATTTAGTGAGGTATAAAATAAAATTTATATCCAATTAGGGAGCGTGAAAATAAATTTATATTAGTACTTAAAGTAATAAGTAAGAATAACTAAATTTATATTAATTGATGAATTCATTAACAAGAGAAGTAGAAATTCTAAACTATTTAAAACATCAAAATATTATTGGGTTTTATGGTTTTTTTAGACAGAAAAAAGAGTATATTTAATTTTAGAATGGGCTCCATTATGTGATCTTTATGGTTTAATGAAGAAATAACTAAATAGAAGATTTAATGAAGATTTGGCATCAAATATTATTAAGTAAATAACTATGGCTATTGGATACATGCATTCAATAAATGTTATACAAAACATAATTTATGAAATATTTTGCATGTTTAGATTTTAAATTATGTATATGATGATAATTTTATTAAATTTTGATTTCATTCATCAGTCTCTTCATTATTGAAACCAGATTCAAATTCTTTAATTTCTTAATTAGAAAAAAGATGTAATATTGATTAATTATCCTAATTTTTAATAATTGAGTTTTATATAATGCAATTTTATGTCTATATGTTATATAATTATGGAAAAGATCTATAACAACCGAAATACTATATTAATATTATATATTACTTGTTTTTTGTAATTTTCATTCTCAATATTACACTTTGACTGATCAATAGTTATAATTTATATAATTCCACCTTCTAAACTTAATGCAATATATCCATTATGAGAATCAACTATTTCTTCAATCTTAAAATCAATTTTAATCTCTTAAATTAAAGTTCCTTTTTATATTGTTTCTTACTTCATATTCCAAAAAGATAATTCATTATATTAAGAACTAATTAAAATTTCATCATTTTAAATAAATATTAGACAATCTATTTTTTTTTATTTGCTATTCCAATCCCCCCATTTACTCCATTTTTTATTATTTTATACCTTAAAAATTCTTATATGCCCCAGGTTCCAACCTTAAGCACAATATTAACCATTATTTGAAAAAGCTAATATAAATTGATTACAATCTGTATTAAATAATGTTTAAATTTGCTGCTAATCACTTTTATAGTTAATTAAGTTATAAGATTAAGATTAGTTATCTGATTAAAATAAGATTAAAGTGTCTTCTGACAACTAACCCTTAAAGTCTATTTCATTGTCAAAAACACAAAAATAGACTTATTATTTATAGAGTTCTAAATCAATAATTCTAAATTAGTCTTCATAGTAATAAGTTAAATATTTGTTTCCTACCCTAACTCGTTTTAAAGAACCATAACGACATATATCTTAAGAGTTTAAAGGTAGAAAAATTCTATAAATTGGCAGAGCGCCACTTGAACTGTTAAAATTATATATTTCTAAAAACTACAAACTCCAATTATACATCCAAAAATGATTAGTTTCTTGTGTAATAACAGATATATATTATTCCTTTTTATCCTTTATGAAATATTCTTCACTATTAATAGAGCAAATGAAGATCTAAAAATATGATATAGTAATATTTTCAATTATTTCCTTAGTATCAACCTTAAAAATACGTATACATAATCTCTTCTTTTCAATTAAATAACTAATAGCTAATTTATTACCTTTTGAAAAAACATTTTAATCAATAATTTCATATTATTGATTTGTAGGAATTCTGTGATATATTTCATAGCTTTCGAAGTTCTTAAGATCAAAAATCACAATTTCATTTTAAATCATACATGTTATTCCTAAAGAATCCTATATGTTCATAAATTTACAGCTCACCAATTCTGCTTTTTTATTGAGATCGATCTTTATATTTTAATGATTCAACATATTCCATACTATTATTAAACCACCACGATCCACAGACACCATATATTTTTCATCTTAAGTAAAGTTAACTGCGGAAATAGCTTCAAAATGCCCTATGAAATCCTCTAATCTCACTCTTTCTTTTAAATTCCATATTGAGATCTTATTTTCATCTACTTTACAATATTTAGTTTCATTAGGACACATCATCAGAAGAGAACATTTTGTATCAAGTATGTTGTCGTAACTATTATTTATAAGCTCTTTAAGATTGTAAATACAATAAACATTTTTATTATTCTTTGATATTAGTAATTACTTATAAAGTTTACAATTCTCTCTATTATCTAGAATTGGAATTTTATGAAGTAAATTTATATTGTCCAATATAGAAGCATCCCAAAAATTAAAATAAAATCTTCTGTTATCAAAAGTTATTAATAAATTACTCTAGGGTAATAATGTTAAAAAGTTTTCTTTATTACATATTTTAAAAGTATATGTTAATTTTGGATCTTATAAACTTTGAAACATAATTTCGACATTATTTTTCTCAAATACTATATATTAACCATCTGATGTAAAATGTGGATATTTAGCTAAGAATTATTATTAATATGTAGTTCTTGATTTTATATTTTTATTAATTAAAATTTTTGAATATACAATCACCGCTACATCTGTATTTATTGATACTTATGTTTTAAAGTTATAACTACCTTCAATAGACTTTTCTTTTTTTTAAGATTTATGATTCCAAATTTGAATATTATCAGGATAAATAACTAAGATTGAATTAGGATCATTTATAAACTATATGTTTAATAAATTTTATTCATTTTCAATTTCTAATATATATAAAGGCTGGAAAATGTTTTTCCAATCAAAATCATAATATTTTATTGTTCTTATTCTTTGATCAAGTATTGCAAATGTTTTATTATCTATTGAAGTGGAAAACATATTTGAATATAACTTTTAACCTTTAGAAGCTTTATTAATAGCATTATTAGAATCAATTTCAGAAAGAGTTTAAAAGTAAATATGGTCTTAAAATTAAAGAGCTAACAATTTGTCATTATGGTTTAATTTAAGGGATGTAAACAATGTATTAGTTTTTACATCCTGATCCTCCAGATCCGTATGCTTATGAAAATTATCAATGGTTTCAATTACTTAAAAATTATTATAAAAAATAAGGCGATCCTAACTTAAAATGCAAATGTTTTGAAAGTTAGATAATTCAATCTTTTTAACTTCAAAATCAATATTTATAGTTGATAATTTTACAATTTGCTAACTTTTGATTTAGTATATATTTATGGATTATTTATTAGAATATGCAAAAAAATAAGAATTATCAGAAAATGCTAAATTGGTTTGATTATCTTATGCTATAATAATCTCACCAACAAAAGGTTTAAGAAGAATTTTGTTATTCTCTTTCATCAATTAAAAAATTTAAATTATTTAATTAGTTTCAATTGCAATTAGTGGAACCAAAAGGTTTCCACCTTCTTTTGGTTCTTGTATTGTAAATATATTATACTTTATTTCGGTTTATTCTTCCATATTATTTAAATCTATAATTTTTAAAGAATTTTATGTTGTTTTTTATATCAAAAAATCTTTGTTAATAAAAACAACCTCCTCAGAAGAAAGTTCAAATTGATTAAAAATTTAAGTTTAATCTCCAGCTAGAAGGTGTTTCATTACCATATTCTATCCACTCTTTATTACCAAATATTTAACACTCTTCTCGACTAATAGACTCATTGTATATTGTAAATTTTAATTATCAATACTTTATTCTAATTCAAAATATTAAATAATTGTTAAAGTATTACAATGTATATTGATTTTATAAAAAATTATCGACTTTTAAGTTTAAAGTATGACTAAAATTGATATAAATAATAAATCAACGCAAATTTAATCTTTTATAAAGTAAATTGCTTATCTATTTTTAACATTCCAAATAATAATATTATTATCCATGCTACAAGAGACAAGATATTATTCTTCAGTTGATAAACAAATTTACTTAATTTTTTCATTATGAATTTCTTTAAATTTAATCACTTCTTAACTTTCAAATATTCTAAACTAAATTATTTTTTCTATAGTAATGCAAATTTTAGTTACATCATTGAATAGTGAATAGCACCCTATTTCTGAATCATCTGTACAATTTATTATACAAATTAATTTCGAAATTATTTAATCTCTTTATATTTAGATATTTTAGATATCTATTTGATTATTTTTAGTTTATATTGCTATTTGCAAAACGTTTTGCTATTCGTCAACAATTTTAAATGCTTATTTTAAATTCTTCACCTATCCTTTAATTAATCCAATAGGATTGAATTTTATTGAAGAATCTATTTCCATATACCAAAATCTAATAGTTTCATCTTGATTGTAACTTATAATACAATTAGACAAACAGAATTAAATAGATATAGGTTTAAAATTATCTAAAGGAATTCTATCTATCATCTTTTGGTCTCCATTTATTTTATAAAATTCAATACAATTATCTTTAGCAATTAAAATATGCAAAAAATCTGTATTTAATTCTGGTTTTTTGTATTATTAAATTGTTATTTCTGTTAAACAATTACAATTTATAAATATTTTGTCTTCTTTAAGACTAGTAATTTTTAGTTAATCATAAAATATTATGTGATCTTTTTTGAACAATATTAAATCACTAGAATTTTAACTAAAATAATATCTTGGTAATTAACCATTGACCTTTAAAGAAGGTAATGATTTAATTTCCTTATAAGGTGATTTATAAGATGATCTTTTCCACGTCGAATATATAATTACTTGATCCTAACTGTTAATATAATAAAAAAAAGCTCAACAACATCATTATGATTATTGTATTCAGTTTTAAAATAATTGGGGTCAGTTTTTATTACTTTTAAAGTTCCAGATGAAGAGTTTCTAAATTTTTATAATGAAAAATAGCCTTAAATTTAAATTATCTAACTTTTATGAACATTTTTGAAAAGTGGCTTTATAGATTTTCCCAAAATATCCCATTAAAATATTGATCCATCTTCAGTTCCTAATAGTACTTCATTGTTCCAAAAAAGATTAAAAGATGTTAACGGAAAGTCTTTTTTATCTAAGATGATTTATTAAAACCATTCAGATTTTTACTTAGACTGATTTCTTAAATCTAATACTTAAAAATGATTGTATTAATAATTAAAAGAAATAATTGTATCCTAATTATTATAAAAACTAAATGGAAAATTTAAGTACTAAGGTGCAGACATTAATAATTTTATATCTTCTTCATCAATTAGATAAATTGAAAGAATATCTTGAGAGAATAATAAAATTTTACTAGAATCAGACGAGAAAATACAACTTTCAAGCTTTTAAATATTTAATTCCTTTTTTATTTTTTTAGTTTATAAATTCCATATATAAACTNTTGAATTTTATTGAAGAATCTATTTCCATATACCAAAATCTAATAGTTTCATCTTGATTGTAACTTATAATACAATTAGACAAACAGAATTAAATAGATATAGGTTTAAAATTATCTAAAGGAATTCTATCTATCATCTTTTGGTCTCCATTTATTTTATAAAATTCAATACAATTATCTTTAGCAATTAAAATATGCAAAAAATCTGTATTTAATTCTGGTTTTTTGTATTATTAAATTGTTATTTCTGTTAAACAATTACAATTTATAAATATTTTGTCTTCTTTAAGACTAGTAATTTTTAGTTAATCATAAAATATTATGTGATCTTTTTTGAACAATATTAAATCACTAGAATTTTAACTAAAATAATATCTTGGTAATTAACCATTGACCTTTAAAGAAGGTAATGATTTAATTTCCTTATAAGGTGATTTATAAGATGATCTTTTCCACGTCGAATATATAATTACTTGATCCTAACTGTTAATATAATAAAAAAAAGCTCAACAACATCATTATGATTATTGTATTCAGTTTTAAAATAATTGGGGTCAGTTTTTATTACTTTTAAAGTTCCAGATGAAGAGTTTCTAAATTTTTATAATGAAAAATAGCCTTAAATTTAAATTATCTAACTTTTATGAACATTTTTGAAAAGTGGCTTTATAGATTTTCCCAAAATATCCCATTAAAATATTGATCCATCTTCAGTTCCTAATAGTACTTCATTGTTCCAAAAAAGATTAAAAGATGTTAACGGAAAGTCTTTTTTATCTAAGATGATTTATTAAAACCATTCAGATTTTTACTTAGACTGATTTCTTAAATCTAATACTTAAAAATGATTGTATTAATAATTAAAAGAAATAATTGTATCCTAATTATTATAAAAACTAAATGGAAAATTTAAGTACTAAGGTGCAGACATTAATAATTTTATATCTTCTTCATCAATTAGATAAATTGAAAGAATATCTTGAGAGAATAATAAAATTTTACTAGAATCAGACGAGAAAATACAACTTTCAAGCTTTTAAATATTTAATTCCTTTTTTATTTTTTTAGTTTATAAATTCCATATATAAACTGTTTTACTATCCCAAGAAACAAGGATTTTATTATTTGGTGAAAATCTAATTCCTTCTATAATTTCACTACTTTTAGATTTAAAAATTTCAACATTATTCTTAGGTATTTTCGTCCATTCTACTAATTTTAAGCTTGCATTGTTAAAATTGCAATTAAATATTTAAACATTTTCAAATTTTGATTTATCTAAAATACTACCAAAAAAATTTAAGCCAGAAATATTAGTATCTTATAATTAAATTCCTTTTAGATCTTCTCCAGTTCCATTCCTAAATAATTAATCATAAAAATGCTATTAGATGCAGCTCTACTAAAATTATTATTAGTTGAAAGCTTTAATATCTTTATCAAAGTTTACTTAATATCATCATAATTCTCTAACTCCACTTTTATCATATTTAATTCTCCATTAAATTTAGAAAATGATAAATTAAACTCATCTTAATTAAATGAACTCGTTTCGATATTTTTTTCAACTGGTCTATTTTAAAAAGCACTTTAAAAATCTTTAATAAGTCTCAAAATATATTTTCCTACAAAAAACTCTTGAATTTATTTATGCAAAAAAAAATAGCAACTATTTTCAAGCTTAATTAAAGCACATCTAAAGAAATCTTTTTTCTTATCAAAATAATCATATTTAAATTTAAAATGTGTTTTACCTTCTTTTTTAAGCTTTTTTTATGGAAAATTAGTTAATCCATAACTACTCATAAATACAGCAAACCTCATTTGAAATTCATATAACTGCCTTTTGAAATCTTATTCAGAATTTTTTACCTTATCTATTTCCCATTCATGATATTGAGCTACATATAATTTATAAAATTAGTATAATGTAAAATTTGATTATCCTACAGCCTTTTTAATTATATCTTTATCTTAGTTTGAAAGCTAAGTTACTTAATTATTTAATAATTCTACTGAAAAATCATCAAAAAAATTTATATCTTCTAATATTTTCATTAAATTTTGAACATACTCATAATCATCAATTTATTAATCCATTTTATTTGATTTGATTTCTTAAGTTTTTAATTTTTATAGTCTTAGACGAAATCTGTCAAACCGAGTTTTTTTGTTAATAAGCAATTTATCTATATTTTATAAGACAGATAAAATGATTTTAAAACTTTAAGGGGTTTAAATCAAATTTTAAATTTAATTATTTGCTATTTATTTCATTATCTAACTTGGACTCTAAATTGTTTTAAAATCATCCCTAAATTCTTATTAATCTTGAAATGATATATCTTCACATTCTAATATCCTTTACAACTTATAAAACAAATTTGATAAGAGCTCATCAGTTATAATCTATTTAGATTTATTTTATTCTGGACACTTTAGAAGTTTTTAAATATCTTCTAACAAAAAAATCTCCCAAATTTCCTTGAAATTATTAATAGAAATTATAGAATTTTTATTTTAAGAATTTTGTATAAACTTATCAGAGTTACAATACAATTTTTATCTAATAATTTAAATACAATATTATTCAAGATATTAGTCTATTTATGATTCTTCAAAACAGATTATTTCAGCTTAAGTAAAAGTTTTCTCATTATTTCCTAAAAATGATTAAGTATATTTTTCATAATTTAGTGTTTCTATTCTTGATGTATAGATTACTTTGACATTTTTGCCTAGTTGAGGCTTGAAAAGTTAATTAGATGATATTATATTTAAATTCTTATCTCTATATTTTTACTTCAATTCATCATAACCATCAAATAACAGTACTAAGTTTTCTTAGCCTTCAAAAACATCTTATTAAAATGATGAGCTTTCATCTTTATTAAATGAAAATTGATCAGATTCTAAAATTTAACTCCAAATATTGTTGTCAGTATTTTAATAAGGTTCAATTATACATATAGAGGAATCCATTTTTTTAATTTAGTTTTAGAATCATACAAATTCCATAAAAAAAATTAAAGTCTTTTTAAAATTTTACTTTTTCCTGATCCTGCTAATCCTTTTATTAAAAGAACTTCATTTTTGTTAGTGGTGTTCCATAAAAAATTATTAATTTCAGCCTTCTATTGAATTTGATCATTACAATTAAAATCAAATTCATAAATCATTTTTTGTATTATCATTTTTCTTGACTTTCAAAGGAATATTGATTTGATTAAAATATTAATATTGGTCATCATTTTATTATTATTCAAATTTATAAATCTTTAATATTCGTTTTCTATGATTCATAAGCTTTTTTTAATATAATTTATTTAAATTCTTCTGACAATCTTTTTCATTAATTAAATTCTTAAAATTCGCTTCTACAATTTAAAACTCTTTTTTTTTTAAGACAAATTGATTGTTATCTTCTTTTTCTAAAAGATCAATATACACTTAACTATCTAATTATAATTTTTCATTATCTGTAGTGTTAATTATTTTAATAAAACTAAATTTTAAAAATTGTTTAATCAGCTTATCATACTGGGTCTTAATATAATGATCCCAAATATTTAATTATAAAAGTTTGAATTATAATTCATTATAATATACTTGAGTCTAATCAACATATTTATCTTAATAGCCTTAATTATATGTTATTAAATTAAAAAGCATCTCAAGAAAATGTAAATGCACTATCTTATTCTTATTTTTTTCAATTGAAAATTAAAATCCATTCCATAATTAATTGATAATTTAATCAATTTATACATCCTAATTACATTTAATAATTCTTATTATGGCTAACTTTAATGATTAAAAAAAGTAATAAATATCATATTAGTGAATATTACCTTAATTCACACTATCATCAAAACAACTTTTTGCATTTTCTATCAATCTAAAGATCATGTCATTTTATTCTTAAAATTTTTTATATTAAAAAATTAATTATTCTGGTTTTTAATTTTTTACATCGAATTCTTCTAAATATTTAACTAAAATTTATATAAGACTGTATTAGTAATCATAGATTTAATGTAAATCCTTTTATTTACTATAAGCTTAATCTTTTTAATCTTCCTTAAATTATTGGAAATACTTTGTATTAAATTTTATTGAATTGTGTATTCTCAATTATGAATAGAGAATCATAAATAATTATTGAATACATTAAAGTAAATTATAAGATAGAAGTTGTTTTGGTTTTTTTATTCTCCTTGATAAAAAGCAAATAGACTCAATGGCCTTCTAAATGATCAAAATTTATCTTTAATTTAGCTAATTCTGATTTGATAAGTTCTAAAGATTAACTTCATTCTCGTGAAACAATTATAAAACTTTATTTAATTAGTTTATCTCCACTTCATCTATTTCATTTTTTGATATCCTTTATATCAGCTATGAATAAAATTATATATATTAGAAAATATCTAATTCTCTGGTAATAACTTATTCTTGAACTATTTATTATTATTATTAATCATTGTATTTTGTCTAAGATGTTCCTCCTCCTCGTAAGTTTTTTTTTTTATTCTTTTCTATATCATCTTAAATTCTTTGTTTTTATATTTTTAAAATTTCATCTATTTTACATTGATTTTGTTTTATCCATCTTATATCTTTGAATTCTATATTTCGAAACAGTAAATTGCAAATTTAAGTCTCATTTTAGTAGAGGCTTTAATTGTAAAAATAATACATCTTATATTTATTTAATTATTTAAATGATCAATGAATTATTTTATTAAAAACCCTTCAACTTGTATGGATTTTTATCAAGAATCATTATTTTTGTATAATTAAAAAATATATCCATATGTAAATTCAAAAATAAGCTTTTTGCAAGGCCACCAGTAGATTTAATTTAGCAGTACTATTATGTTGAATTCTCTACACATGAGAAAAAAAATGTTGAAAAAATAAAATTTTGAAAAAAAAAAAGGGGTCTCACTATTTACGTAGTAATATGGTCGGGGCCGTTAGAAAAAACTGACTTTGGGTTTGGGGTTGGGGTTGGGGTTGGGGTTGGGTT